TGGCTGCGGCCGCGGCGCGGGCACGGACCGGGACGGGGAGTGTTCGGTGGCCGAGCCGGCCGAGGTAACTGCCGTCGTTGAGCACCCAGGTGGCCTGGCCGGTGCCCAGCCCTTCCTTCCCGCGGCGGCAGCGAGGACGGCGACAGGCAGACCTGGGTGCGAACCCGGCCCCCGGCTCCTGCCCGGCGCTAGGCTGAGGGGAACGCGTGCACTTGGAGCTGGGACGGGTTTGACGGACGCGGGCCACCGAGCCCCGACTCCTAAGACCCCGGGGAGACTTGCGCTGCACAGCCCGTGCTTCGCTCCCGGGGGCAGTGGCTGGGCTGAGGGGAGCTCGGAGCTGAGAGTAAGGAGCGCTCTGCCGGGTGTAAAGCACTTTCCACGACGCTGGCATAGATACCGCCTCGCACCCAGCTCGCCCAGCACGAGCCCGCATCCGCCTTTCACAGGCGGGGAAAGGTGCCCCGCAGAGGGTTTGGACCCGGCGCCGGCCGAGCGGTGCCCTAGGCGCATTCAGAGGTCTTGCGGCATAACTGCCTTGGAGGGGCATAAAGTTCCGAAACAGCCACCCTGTGACCTCATTATCTGAGCTCCTAGCTACCAATCTGAAACATTACTTTTGCCGGATCTGCTTGCCCCTCCCCAACTACCAACAACCATAGCCCAGCAACCCAGATCACCACGACACAGCAGTTTCTCATGATTATTTTTTTAATCTTTCTTTGTGATTTGGGCTGGACCAACTGTGAGGAGTGCTTTAGGTGAAGTCAAAAGTGGAAGGTAGTTAGTTGGGTGGTGGGGGTGGGGTGGGGGTGTGTGTGATTGAATTCTGAAAACTCCAACTGAGTGTTTCGGGTTTTCTAAGTAAGAATTATTTATTTTATGGCATTGGTGGTGAATAATAACTTTTGTCCTTTCTATTGACAGGTCCACCTTCTAGCAAATTATTGGAAGGATCATGAGAAGTGTAAGTAGGGATTTTGAAGTATCAGTTAAAGGAACCAAAATTGTTTATGTGTAGGATAACATTTAATTTGGTGATACCATTTCTGGATGTATAAAGTTCATTGGTAGGTGCCTATCAAATGCCCATTTTTGAGGGGTATGTTTACTAATAATACAGGCAGAGGTTACACAGGTGGCAGCCCGTCTCTACAAATGATGACAAATACACCGAGGGATGCAATGTTTTCCATCCCTTTAGGCCTGTGAAAGGGAAGTGGGACCAAGTGTTCCCTAATGTCTGCAATGAGTGCCAGGTGTTTTCTGGGCTGTTCTCACCTATCCTGTAGCCTTGTTTATCCTCAAAACAAAGTTTAAAGGAGGAATTCTTATCCTTCTTAGAACTGAGGAGACTGAAGCTTAGGAAGGTTAAGTAAAGCAGCCCTGTTGTTGCTGAAAAAACTGTTCACTAAACACCACTTTTCAGCCCGGCCGGTGTGACTCAGCGGTTGAGCATCCACCCATGAACCAGGAGATCGAGGTTCAATTCCCCGTCAGGGCACATGCCTCGGTTGTGGACTCCATCCTCAGTAGGAGGCATGCAGGAGGCAGCCGATCAATGATTCATCAGTGATGTTTCTCTCCCTCCCCATTCCGCTCTCTGAAATCAATAAAAAACACACACAAAAAACAACTTTCACATTGCTGATCCAGGTTCAGAATCCACAAATATTTAATGAACATCTATTTATACCAGGTGCTTTTGAGTATTGTATTTAATCCTCATGACAACCCACCATGCCTTTTGCTCATTTCAGCTGATCACCTTGAAATCAATTAGTGAGCCTTTAAAAAAAATAGAGCCCATACAGCGCAGGAGGTAAGCATTTGTAAATCCATTGTTGTTAGATCCCCCTTTGTAAATATGATGCAGTTCTATGGGGTACCAACAGCAATTCCTTTAGTACACTCCTGACATCGTAGAGAGGTGCAAACAAAACATGGGCCTTAGGTAACAAACTGAACTACAAGAGCATTTTCTCCCAATGATGACAAATCAGAAAATACTGGTTTCCTGTGATAAACGCACAAAATATTGGCTAATGGAACTAACCACTGACCTAAAGCTTGGATAAATTAGATATTACTTACAAAAAAAATGTGGATATTCCAAAATAGCCAGTAAGAAAGGAGATTCGTAGAGTGTTGCTTAAATCTGAGCACTGAGGGAAATACTGACCCAGGCAGCCTTCAGTCTGAACCACCCCTCCGACTGATCTCCACAACTCTGAGTGATCAAAAAAAAATCTGATCAGGTTTTTTCCCCCCTGCCTTTGGTGGAAAGGCATTTGCACAGCCAGGAGCAGATTGGGGGTTTCCTGGGGTAGAGGTGGGAACAGGCATTGGATGCAAGCAGGCGGGATCTTTTGAGGGTTATGAAATCTAAAACTGGATGGTGGTGATGGTTGCACAACTCCCTGATTCCTTCTTACTAAGAATGGAATTGTACACAAAACAGAGATGAGTTTTATGGGATATAAAACCCATTTTTTATACCTCAAAAAAATGGTTAATAAATAAAGAAAACCCTGCATGCTTAAACTGTCCA